GCAGTGCCTGCTTGCCCTGGAAACACTGCCCTTTCCCTGATCTCACTTTCCTCCTTCCCCTGTCCATCCACAAAGGGCCGGTTGGGCATCCGGATTTAGCTATAGGAAGAAGGTGTTGGGGAGAGGCTGGGCTGCGGGGGCCCAGAGGGAGGGGGCTGAGGGAGGGGCTGATGGGCCAAGGGCTGGGGCTTCCTGGGTCCCTGAAGGTCAGGTCTCTCTTTGCTCCTATGAAGCCTCGGGGCTCCCCGCCCCGACGTCAGGGAGAGAGAGAGTGTCTGAGGGGTGTGAGTGGGTATGTTTGTGCAGGGGTGGTGTCAGGCAGTGAGCCCAGCAGAAGCTCATCCTACAGCCTGCACTGGCTCCCAGCATTCCATCCCCTCTCCATTCCCTCACCCGGTGCCAGGGCCTCTCCCAGGACTTGGTGCCCCCTACTCTCTCCCCAGGCCCCTGCCAACCCTCCTCTGAAGGGTGTCTGAGAGAAGGTGAGAGGGAGCCAGAAGGCAGGAGAAGGGCATACAGCTCCAGGAATGTGGGCCGCTCTGGGGGTATTCCTGGGCCAGCCAAGGTGACCTCTGTCCAGGTCTTGGGGAGGGACCCAGGGGCGCTATGCCTGGGCTAAATCACAAGAATAACCAACCGACACCCAGACAGTGCTTACTGCACATTAAGCTCTGGTCTAAGTGCTTTATAAAAATTAACTCATTCTCTACGCTTAGGGGACACTAAGCTTCCGTTAAACTCCACTGCCGTCGAGTGATTCTGATTCATAGCCACCCTGTAGGACAGAGTAGAACTTCCCCATAGGGTTTCCAATGCTATAAATCTTTATGGAAGCAGACTGCCACCTCTTCCTCCCTCGGAGCGGTGGTGGGTTCAAACCGCTGACCTTTTGGTTAGCAGCCAAGTGCTTTAACCACTGTGCCACCAGGGCTCCTGAAGCTTCTGTTAAGGGTGATAGTATAATTTGGGGACAGATAAGGGTGATGGTTGGACAACATGAAGAATAAAATTAATAAATAAAATTAATGTCACTGAACTATACATGTGAAGATTGTTGAAATGTCAACATATTTTCCACAATAAAAAAAAAAATTAACTCATTGAAGCAGCACAATTACCTTAGGAGAGCGGTACTGGTGTTCTCAGTCCCATTTTACAGACTGAGGCCCAGGAAGGTTAAGAAACACCCAACATTGCACAGCTATCAAGTGGCAGAGCCGGGATTTGAACCCAGGGAGTCTGCAAATGGCTGGTGGATGGCTGGGCAGACATGATGTAGAGCTCAGAGCCCAGGACGGGACTCCAGCCTGGCACTGCTGGTGCCCACCACACCTCCAGCAAGCCTCTTCTTCTGTTTGAGGGTTATTGTGAATAGAAGGGTTTCCATGACACCTCTCCCATCGGGCTGCTGGGAGGATTAAAGGATTGGGGAACAACGGCTGTAAAGCCTGGCCCAGTGCCTGCCACATTCTAACCATACTGGCTCTTATCCTCTGCCCCTGCCACCTGTTGGGCCAGGATCACCTCCAGCTGGAGGTGGTATCAGACCCGTGGGTCAGAACAGCTCCAACTCTATCCTCCTGCCCTACAGAGGCCCGCGGGAGCATGAGGAAGTGGCTCCAGACCACAAGAGATCAGGAACCCGTGAGCTGTGGGGCTGATGTACGGGTGGGGAGGAGTGCAAGCCTCCTCAAGGCAGGCTCATTGGCTGGAGGTGGGGGTTGGGGGGCAAACAAGCAGGCCCCTCCTGGGCGCACGCACACACACCTGAGAGGCTGCACAGCCGGGGACACTCACCTACAGTGACTGGCTGAAAACTAGCAGGAACTTCAAGAGATGACAGATTGCGCACACCTGTCAGAAAGCACCGCCATTAACACAACACATATTAACGAGCACCTACAGTGTGCCAGGCCTAGGAAGTGAACAAGACAGACAGGTGTCCTGGAACTGGGGGGTGAGTGCCCATCTGGGGGACATGGCTAAAGAGATGCCTGCCCCTCCCCGGATTAAATACTGAGAAGTTTCTTTGGTTAAACTAAAGGGGCTAATGGAGTCCCTGGGCGATGCAAACAGTTAACATGTGAGTGCTAACCAACAGGTTGGCAGTTCAAGTCCACCCAGAGGCACCTCGGAAGAAAGGCCTGGCGATCTACTTCCAAAAAATCAGCCATTGAAAGCCTATGGAGCACAGTTCTACTCTGACACACATGGGGTCTCTATGAGTTGGAATGGACTCCAACTGGTTTGTATAATTTGCTACGGACCACACATGCCTTTTCCATTCAGCCTGCTGTTTGTCCCTCACGCCAGCCTCAGGAGGTTATCGCCATGATCATAATCGGCATTCTCATTTGACAGGTAAGGGAGGGAGTTTACAGAGTCCTGGGGCGTGTGTTATTTGATTTCCCAGCAGCCCTGTGAAGGGCTTGGTATTAGCATCCTCACGTTCAGGAGACTGAAGCCCGGGGAGGGTTGAGGGGCTCTCCACAGCCACCCACCTGATAAATGGCAGAGTGAGAATTCATAACCAGGCATCTGAACTCCATAGCGATGCTAACACTGTTTTTGCAGGTCTAACTCTCATTTTTTGCCTTTTTTTTTTTTAATTGATTTTTTTTATTGTACTTTAGATGAAGATTTACAGAACAAATAGTCTCTCATTAAACAGTTAGTACACATATTGTTTTATGACAGTGGTTAACAATCCCACAACATGTCAACACTGTCCCTTCTCAGCCCTTGGGTTCCCTATTACCAGCTTTCCTGCCCCTTCCTGCCTTCTAGTCCTTGTCCCTGGACTGTTGTGCCCCATTAGTCTCATTTTGTTTTATGGGGTTATCTAATCTTTGGCTGAATGGTGAACCTCGGGAGCGACTTCATTACTGAACTAAAAGGGTGTCTGGAGGCCATACTCTCAGGGTTTCTCCAGTCTCTGTCAGGCTAGTAAGTCTGGTCTTTTTTGCGAGTTAGAATTTTGTTCTACATTTTGCTCCAGCTCTGTCCAGGACCCTCTGATCCCTGTCAGAGCAGTCAGTGGTGGTAGCCGGGCACCATGTAGTTGTACTGGACTCAGTCTGGTGGAGGCCGTGGTAGTTGTGGTCCATTAGTCCTTTGGACTAATCTTTCCCTTGTATCTTGTTTTCTTAATTCTCCCTCATTTTGTCACATTTTAGCCCTCTGAAATCAGAATGAGTGTTGCAATTGATGGCATGTCAAGAGTTTGTTTTGGCAGTATTTTTTTTCTTTCTTCATGGTACATAAAATAACGGTGTGACTTATAATCAACGCCATCTTAGACTCAGTGAAATACTGCAGAATGCACCTCATAGAGTGGGTGTGAGGCATAGATGGAATAAAATATGTTGAGTGCTTGGCATTGCCTGGTACATGATTGGGGCTCTAGAGGTGGTAACTGTATTAGTAGTAATATCTCCTAATATTATTTTTAATATTATATTTTAATTTAATATGATTGCCAGCCTGGGGGTGGCAAATTCGTTTCATCTCCTAAGCCAATTCCAGTCAACAGGGACCACTGCTTAACACAATGTTGTTGCCTGCCGTCAAGTCAGCTCTGACTCATGGTGACCCCACGCACAACACAGCAGAATGCTGCCTGGTCCTGCACCACTCCTGTAATCGGTTGTGGATCTGACTGTCATAACCAATAGGGTTTTCATTCGCTGAGTTTTGGAAGTGGATAACCAGGCCTTTCTTCCTAGCCCATCTTAGTCTGGAAGCTTCACTGAAATCTGTTCAGCATCACAGCAACACGTAAGCCTCTACTGACGGATGGTGGCTGTACCTGAGGTGCACTGGCTGGGAACTGAACCTGGGTCACCCGCATGGAAGGTGAGAAGTCTACCACTGAACCACCATTGTCCCCAACTAGCATATAATAATTTATGATTCTGGGGCTAAGTCAAGGATCTGTGGAAAAGAGTGCCCTGATCAATTAGTAATGTCTGCCTGGGCACAATAAGAGCAATGGTGACTCTTAGGCCAGTGTCTGCCATTCCTGATCTAGTCCAAGCCCTGGTCCTTGGGCTGCAAGTTCTTAGAACATGGATCTCGGTGGAATTCCTGATCTAAGTAGGGGGTGGGGGTGGGAGAGGGCTATACCTGAGCAGATGACCCTGGCTGCCAGCGACTGGCTGCAGAGATTGGAGTTGTTGAACCGCCAGGAGCAGTCGGAGAGGGTAGGCTCCCCTCCTGTGCACGAGTAGTACATCATGCCCAATAGGGAGTGGGGCAGCCCCTTGGGCACTCTGTTCAGGGTCCCACAGCCCAAGGTCCGGCAGAGCACCTCAGCCTCCGGCGAGTACCACTCACTGTCACACACCGTGTTCCAGACCCCACGGAAGTGGACCTCCACCTGCCCCTCGCAGGGGTCAGTGCCCCCAGTCAGACGCCAGGACTGGTGCTCTGCGGGGGGGAGTTGTAGGGGAGGGGGAGCAGGTCAGGATCCTTTGGGTCAAGACCGGTCCCCCAGCCCAGATCCATACATGCAGGCCCCCCACAGCCAATTGGTCTCCAGCTCCTACGCATTCTCCCTCTTGCACCCATATCTCCCTCTCACCCTTCCTGTCTGCTCTGACCCTGCTGATACCCTGTTGTTCTTGCTGTGTGCCTTAGAGTGGATTCCGACTCATAGCAACCCTACAGGCCAGAGCAGAACTGCCCTGTAGGGTTTGCTAGGCTGCAGTCTTTACTGGAGCAGATCGCCAGGTCTTTTCTCCCACAGAGCTGCTTGTGAGTGTGAACCACCCACCTTTCAGTTAGCAGTCGAGTGCTTAACCACTACGCCGCCAGGGCTCTTTCTCCATACCCGAGATCCTCACTACTCAAAGCGTGGTCTGTGGACCAGCGGCATCGGCATCACCTGGGATCTTGTTAGACGTGTAGAATCCTGAGCCCTGCCCCAGACCTACTGACTCAGAATCTGTGTTTTAACAAGAGCCCCAGGGATTCCTGGCACACTGGGCGGGGCAGAGCCTTAAGGTCTCTCATCCGGACTGGCCACAGCCTTCTCAGGGGCCTCCCCGCCTCAGGGTTCCCTTGTGCTTGCTGCTCTGAACCACGTGACAAATCCCCTCTGAGGAAGAGTCCCATCTCCAATGTCACCTCCTCCAGGGAGTAGAATGGGATTTACCCCTCCCCTCCCGATTGCCAACTGCCTCTAAATTTGACCTGACTCCTCTCAGGCAGGGGTGTAGTGACAGTGACAGCACCCAGAGGCAATCTCTAAGTTGCGCCCCGCCCCCCGCAAATGTCAAGATGAATAGACGTTGAGAGCCCCCGAGTCAGCAGAAACGCCTTCCCCCCTCTTGTTGAGCTGCCTCAGTCACGCGCCTTTCATATTTATGGCGCCTCCGGAATATCATTGCGCGCCTCTCTGGCCCTCCCTTGGACTGGCGTGAGGTGGGGGCAAATGTCCCCGTTCACCCCCCACCCCCACCCCCTCCCCTCACGCCTCTGCTTTAGGGCATTTACCACGTTTTACCCTAAGTTATTTTTGCCCGGGTCTCCTCTCCCCTCCAGATGGTTGTTCCCAAGGGCAGTGTCCCTCTCCCCAGCACTAAACCCCAGGCTTGGCGCCCAGTAGGCCCTCAGTAAGTGTTCATGGATGACCGCGGTTCAGCCATGCTGTTCACTGACCTGAGCACACCACGCCCGCGTCCTCTTTGTGACCGCAGTAGCGGTCTCCCGGCAGCCCGGGGCAGTCCCACAGGTAGTCCTCGGCCCCGGAGCAGTTCACCTGATCCCGGTGGATGAGCCCCTGGCCGGGGGCGAAGTGCAAGCCAGGCAAGGCCTGGATCGCCCAGCCGCAGCCCAGTTGCCGGCACACCACGTGGGCGTCCTCTAGGTCCCACGTGTCGTCGCACACCGAGCCCCACTCTCCGTGCTCCAGCATCTCCACGCGGCCTGCGCACCTGCCGCCGCCGTCCACCAGCCGCAGCGCACGATTCTCTGGGGGTGGGCGTGGGGCGCCCCGAGGCGAAGGGTTTTGTAGATGGAGGGGAAGAGGGGAGGAAGGGGAGCGGTGGGGTGGGGGAGGAGGACTCGGCAGGGTGGGGCTGTGGACCCAGGGACAGAGGCTGGTAACCTGGTGGGCAGGACTGAGGATCCTGTTGGGCCCTGCCTGGAGACTAGGTTTGGGGGCAGGGGAGGGACAGTCAGTGTTGGGGGCCCCTGGAAACCTGGCATATTTGTGTGAAGGAAGGGGTGGTGATAGAGGTGGGTGGCAGCACAGTGAGTGAGCTAGAGACCCGGTTAGGATTGGAGACCCAAGGGGTCAGGGTGGGGACAAAGTGGGCGCATCTGGGTATCTAGTTTGGGGAGGGGTCTGAGGGCCGGATCAGTGGAAATGGGAGATCCGATGCTGCGGTCCCCGGGGCGGGGGGCGGGGGAAAGCAGTGGTGTTTGCGTTTGGGGCCGGGGAACTGGAGAACAGAGGGCGAGGCTCAGGTCCAGTGGCCGGGGCTGGGGACAGGAGTCAGGGGCAGTGGCTGAAGGCCTGGGGGGTGGGGCAGGCAGGGGCCCGACGGCGGGCCTGCGGGGCGGTCAGCTTGTACCTGGACAGCTGACCTGGACCGCTTTCTCGTCGCTGCTGCACGCGTGGTCCATCACCTCGCAGAACCGCCATTCAGCGTTAAAGCACACGATGGTGGGCGCGGAGGCCCAGGTGGAGTTCGGGGACCAGCTGCTGGCGTTCCCCGCGGGGGGCGCAGGCGGCGGCTCCCCAGTCGGCAGGGCGGGCTGGACCGCCGTCTGCGCCCCGCTGCAGCCCAGCGCGCGGCATACGGCCTCGGTGGCGTGGCCGTTCCACAGCGCCCCGCACGCAGGTTCCCAGGCCTCTCCGAGCCAGACCTCCACCGTCCCGCCGCAGCGGCTGCTCCCGTTCACCAGGCGCACTCCGAGCTGCTCCGCTGCAAGCAAGCGCCGGACGGGGGGCTGAAGCCTCGGAGGACTCCGACTCTGCCCATCCTGGGGGCGGCGGGCAGCAGTCCAGGGCTCTGCCACCAACCCACTGCGTGACCTTGAACAACACCTTACCGGTCTTTGGACCTCAGCCTTCTTGTCTACAAAATGGGACTGGGCTGGCTCATCTCCCAGCCCTCTTTGAGGCCTGACCCTCTGGTTCTCCTTGGAGTCAGGAGAAGGTGGGGCTCTGAGGTGGCCCCGGAGGTTAGGATGGCTTAGGCCCGAGGTGACAGTTCCTACAAACCCCCCTCTGCCCTTGCCTCCAGGGGAACCCTTGGTGAGAGTAGAGCAGAGTTCTGAGTTTGGGGGGCCTGACATAATAGGTGGCACCGTGGGTACCACGCTTCCCCTGAGGGTACCCATAGAGGTTACCAAGGTGACCCAGGAGCCTTGGAGAAGTTCCATGAAAGACGCTGGGGTTGGGGACGGGGTTGAAGATGGATTGTTGCCGTTGATGGCTGTCCTCCCTTCCCCAGAGCCCCCGCTTTGGGAACCACCTGCCCGTTTTTGTCCAGGGTTGCACCCCCAACAGCTTTGCACAGAATCACTCCTTAATACCTGTAGCTAAAGGACCCACCTAGTGAATCTCACCCCTCCCACCAATGGTTCGTTAGTTTGTCCTCAACCAACCCCCTTTAAGTGTTTTCTGAATACTTCGCCCAGGTGTTTATGTCTTTTTATCAGAGGCCTCTCAAAGATGGTAATTCTAGGATCTCAAAGTGAACCCAATGGTGGAAGTTCAGGCATTGTGCCAGGAAGTAGAAGCATCTGAAACCAGGGAGCCTCCCTGGGACCCTGAAAGTCTATTTCCCTTTCCTGTCACCCTGGGTGACCACGTACTCGATCTGAGAGAGCTGACTGTGGACCCCAGAACGATTGCTTCCTCACCTGGCTCCAAGGGCTCGCTGTCCGCACTACTGGTGTTGAGCTGGCCAGAGGGGGTTGGAGATGAAGGACCTGAAATTAAACCAGCAGCAGCCTGGTGGGTGAGTGAGCTCAGGCATGGGAGGGCACAGAGCCACCACCATGGCATGGGCACTCTCTGGAGCCTGCGGTGGCTAGAAGGGGCCTTTGGAAAGACACAGTCCTGGGTCTTAGATGCATTTGCCTCTTTTCAGAGTAGGGAAAATTCTCCAACTTTGGAGTTGCAGCATTCTCCACTTCTGTAAATTGCTCGCACATCCTCAGAAAGCAGAGTAGATCAGGGAGGGTTGTTGTGGGCTTTGGGGTCAAGACTCTCTTCCTGGCTGTGTGACCATGGACACATTAGTTAGCCTCTCTGTGCCAGAGTCCCCATTTGTTGGTGATAACACTTAGGAAAGTACTGTGAGACTAAAATGAGAAAATATCTGTGAAATATCTGACATACAGAAAAAGCTCATGTTGCCCTAAAGAAAAAAAAAAATTAGCACAGCGCGTTTACAAGAATACTTGCCCGGGGGAGGGAGTGTTTGGCAAACAAACGTAGGAGGCGCATGTTATTTAAGTAAAAATACAGTATTAGGAAAAACAATTTTATTTAGGGAATTTTGTATCAGGCTTTAGGATAGTTGGAGTATCCTCGATTGGGAACTATTAAATTGCAAAGTGCTGTCAGACACGAAAAAAGTATCATTTGTTAAGTGCTTTTTATATGCCAGGCCTTTGCACATATTTTTCCATTTGCCTTTAACAACACAATGAGGTAGGTACTAGCAGTCCTATTTTACAGATTAGGAAACCGAGGCCCTAAGAATAGAAAATGTCAGATAACATCCATTTGTCCTTCCAGAGGCACTTTGTCCCACCAGGCTAACCTGTTTGGACAAAACCAATGTCTTAGTCGGCCCTTTGGTTTCTGTTGGGTTCAGCCAATAGGGAACCCCAGCAGAGCTGGAAGGGAGGGAGGAGGCTGAAGTAGGGCTGTTTATTCTTTTGGCTCCCTCCCTGTGAGTTCCCATGGGCAGGCTGTGTCTCTCATGTGAAGGTCACTGATCCTTTCAAAGGTGGCTGACTTGCTCATGCCTGTCTCCTTCCGGGTCCCATTGACCACCCCCTGTCCTTGTCTCCTTGGGCCCAGGGTGGTAACAGCTTAGCTGCTCCCAGCCCCTATTTACTGCATTATCTTTTGTCAATAGTCCTTTCATAAGTAAGCCCTCTTCAAACCCTCCTATTTTGAGTGCGCCACCTGTTTCCTGTTGGAACCCTGATTTGGTACATCACCTGAGGCCACCCAGCCAGCAGGTGGCAGAGCCAGGATTTGAACCACTCTGGGCCAGGATGCTGTGGTTTGCAGAAGCCCATGGGGGGCCTGTGGTTCCTCTATATTCCCTGGCTTGTCTTGCAGTTAGGTTGGCACCACTGAAATCTGGGCAGGAGGACATGTGCCCTTCTGGGCCAAGGCAGTTCTTCCATCTCTTTTTTCCCTCTCATAGTGATGTTTGGAGTCCCTGGGTGGTATGAAGGTTAACACATTTGGCTGATAACCAAAAGGTTGGCAGTTCGAGTCTACCCAGAGGCACCTTGGAAGAAAGGCCTGGCCATCTATTTCTGAAAAGTCAGCCGTTGAAACCCCTATGGAGCACAGTTCTACTCTGACACATGCAGGGTAGCCGTGAGTTGGCGTTGACCTGAGGACTGTCTTAGTTATCTAGTGCTGGTATAACAGAAATACTACAAGCGGATGGCTTTAATAAAGAGAAATTTATTCTTTCACGGTCTAGGAGGCTAGAAGTCCAAATTCAGGGCACCAGGTCCAGGGAAAGGATTTCTCTCTCTGTTCGCTCTGGGAGAAGGTCTTTGTCATCAGTCTTCCCCTGGTCTAGGAGCTTCCCAGCACAGGGACCCTGTGTCCAAAGAACGTGCTTCTCTCCCAATGCTATTTTCATGGTGGCGTGAGGTCTCTCGGTCTCTTTGCTCACTTCTCTCTTTTATATCTCAAAAGAGATTGACTCAAGATACAACCTAGTCTTATAGATTGAGTCTCACTTTATTAACATGACTGCCTCTAATCCTGCCTCATTAACATCATAGAGGTAGGATTTACAACATGTAGGAAAATCATATCAGATGAAAAAATGGTGGACAATCAATCACACAATAGTGGGAGTCATAGCCTAGCCAAGTTGACACATTTTGGGGGGAGACAATTCAATCCATAACGATAGCAATTGGTGTTTTTTTGAAAATGATGTTAGAGGCCATGTCTTCCAGATACAACTGCTCCAAGATGGAAGAGGAAGTTGACTCAACTGAATTTTGTGTGAGTGAGAAGTTAACCTTTTTTGTGTTGAGCATGAAGATCTTGGGGTGTACCTGTTACCACAGCCTGGCCTGACTAATACAGTGGCTGAAGATTAAGTCATGGCTGCTACGCATTCTTGTAGCTTCATCTGAGAAGACTCACGGAGGGCTTGTGCACACATGGACGCACACACGTACACACGCCTGCAGACACAGCCCTCCTTCAAGCACCTGTCTGGGCCACTCCATCATTCAGACAGAAAGCAGCCGGGCTGTTATCAGCCTATCCTCACTAACTCGCTGGTTGGCTGCCCAGCCTGACCCCTGAAGGGGAAATGACTCAGAATTCAGAGCACAAACTCCATGGCTAATGTAATATTCAGAGAAGGAATTCAGACACCCACAAGTCAGGATTTCAGAATTCCAGTTCCCACAGCGACGGTCCCAGTGCTCCTGCAGTTTTCAATGTTTCTGTGTGTGCCTGGAGGGGAGACTGGGCTGCTGGCTGCTGTGTGTATGAGTGTGATTATATGCAACTGTGTGTGAGTGTGTGTGTATGTGTGTGTGTGTGATTGCATGTGGTGTGACTGCTTGTGAGTGTGACTGACTATGATTGTGTACAACTGTGTGTGTGTGAGTGTAATTGTGTGCAGCTGTGTGTGAATGTGTATGTGGGACCGTGTGTGTATGTATGACTGCATGTGAGTGTGACTTGTGTGGGTGTGACTGTGTGTGTGAGACCATGTGTGTGTATGGCTGCATGTGTGATTTGTGTGAGTGTGTGTGTGTGAGACCATGTGTGCGTGAGACCATGTGTGTGACTGCATGTGAGTGTGTGTGTGGGACCATGTGTGTGTATGACTGCATGTGTGATTTGTGTGAGTGTGTGTGTGTGAGACCATGTGTGTGTGAGACCGTGTGTGTGTGAGACCATGTGTGTGTGTGACTGCATGTGGGTGTGTGTGTGAGACCATGTGTGTGTATGACTGCATGTGTGACTTGCGTGAGTGTGACTGCATGTGAGTGTATGTGTGAGACTGTGTGTGTGTGACTCCATGTAAGTGTGGCGTCTGTGGGTGTGACTGTGACTTGTGTGGGTGTGACTACGATTGTGTGTGACCGTGAGTGTGTATGTGTGTGAGTGTGATTGTGTGCAACCGTGTGTGAGCGCGAGTGTGACCATGTGCGATTGGGGGGCTCTAGTTCAGTTCTGTATCACCCCTGTCTCGGTTTGGGAAACCGCTTTCTCATGCATAGAGGCAGGCATGTTTTCTACATGACCAGAAAGCCCCGGTAGGCAGGGCCCAGGGGTGGCTCAGCCCTGTGTTCTGAGGGTGCCTGACACAGTGTCTGCTGATTAACCGAATGGATGAAAGAGTGAGCAGGAGCTGCCAGTTTCACGGACAACTGTCATCAAGGCAGTTTACGGATGTCAGATATACTCAGGGTTTTGTTTTCTCTGCTACAAGCATTTCCCCTCCCCTGTGAGTTGGAATCGACTTGACTCGACGGCTACAGGTTTGGTTTGGTTTTGGTAGCCTAAGAAGGGAGCCAAGCTTTTGTGTTCTCTGACTTCTGGGCTGCAGGGACAAAAGCAGAAGTTACCTTCCACCTTCCTTCCACCCAGGCCCAGTGCAAGATCTGTGCCTCCCAAACCTCATTACCACCTTGCCCTGGCCACCGCGTTTCACTTGTGCTTCACACTTTTTCTCACACTGGTTCACTTTTTTGCTGCAATAAATGTTTATTTCAAAAGGAAGCTTTACCCTTTTCCTGTGAATTTGCTTCACAGCATTAAGATGCCCAAACACAAGGATGTTCGTTGCAGAGTATTTTGAATAGCAAAATATTGAAAACAGAGTGGGTGCCCACCTGCCAGGGAATGGCTGAATAAGTTATGGTTCATCTACAGCGTGGCTCTCATGCAGACTTTGTAACGAATAAGAGACCAACACCAGTTAGAGGAATTTTACGCTATGTGAATTGGGAAAGCAAGATGCAGAGAAGAGTATGTAACATGATACAACTTCTGTAAAACAATCCTTCTATGAAATGTTGGTTGGTTATACGAACATGGAGGTAAGGATGGAAGAACACACACCAGATTATTAAAACTGGGTGGGCTTGAGGGCAAGGGGAAAGGCAGGAGAAGGCTGGCTTTGTGAATTTGTGACCTGTGCTATCACACAGGGTCCCGTGCTTAAAAGGGCCCCATACTTGGTTTAATGCTCTGCTAGGGTCGTCTTGAAGCTCTTAGTAATTGTTGAACAAGGGGCTACCATTTCAAAACTATTAGCAATTGCTGAACAAGAGGCTGCCATTTTGAAACTCTTAGTAATTGTTGAAGAAAAGGTTGCTGTTTTGAAACTCTTAGCAATTGTTGAACAAGGGGCCTTGCATTTTTATTTTGCACCCAAAACCAAACCAAACCCATTGCCATCAAGTTGATTCCGACTTATAGCGACCCTATAGGACAGAGTAGAATTGCCCCACAGGGTTTCCAAGGAGCATCTGGTGGATTTGAACTGCCGACCTTTTGGTTAGCAGCCAAGATCTTAACCACCAGGGTTTCCTTATATAGGGGCCACGAATTATGCAGCTGGTCCCGAGGCAAAGCAATGCTGGTGGAAAAAGAGAGAAGGGTGAGAGATGAAGCAAGCAATCAAGGAAAAAGATAAAAGGCTGTACTTAGAAAAATCATGTATATTATTCCATTTATATAAAATTAGGTACAT